CCGGGCCTTCTGCAGGGAGACTTCCATAGGCTTTTCATTTCTTTCAAGTCTGCTAAAATGTCACCTCCTTAGGGAGGCCTTCACCGATGACCCTAAGTAAAATAGTGCCACCTCCCATCTCTCCCTGCCCTCTTACCTCACTTCATTTCCTATAGTACTCATCACCACCTGGCGTGTGATACAGATATTGTTCGTTACTTGTCATTCTCCTTGCACTGGAGTACAAGATCCACGGAGCGAGGACTTGATCTGCTTTGTTTCAAATAATGAGATCAGTGCCTGACACATAGTAGCAGCTTGTTAATTGATTATGTATACATAAAACAGTCAATCAGTTAGTGAGGCTGGGTCCCTTTTCATTGTTTATGGGAAGTCCTGACAGTTTGAATGTGGATGTTTGCCCTTACCCCATCCTTGGCTGAAATAAACTCCGTCCCCTCAGTAAGTGTTTATGGAGTCTGTGCTAAAGCAAACCAGCAACAGCACCAAGTGCAGTCCCCACAAAACCCATGGAACAGGCTCCTCCTTCCCACTCGTCCCTTCCTAGCTACCAGATGGCATTATTTTGGTTAGAGTTGTTCTGGACCTTGGCGATGGACACATGGAAGGTGCCGTCAGTTAATGGTGTTCTCCTGAAGGCAGCCAGGCCCACATTACCCATAGGTCTACATTACCCCAAATGAATCAATTCCTTCATAATTTACCAAGTCGCTTTAAAAGACCTGTACCTTGTTTTCACATTTCCACAGCTGGTAAAGTTTTGGATAATTGTTAATCTATCATCCATCTTAATCTAGCAACCTTACCACCCCTCTCCCTGCCACTTCAAGATTCCTCTATTGTAAATTGCTCACACTTCTCCCAGAAGGCACTGTGCTTTCTTATAGCTTGGCGCCCCTGCACATCCTACTTCTCCTTCCCGGAATGTCCTTGCCTGGCTTGTCCGCCTGGCAAACTCCCAAGCATCTTTAAAACCACAGACCCTTTGACGCCAGTCACCACGTAAATGGAGCTTAGCTTTCCTTCCTGTGTGCCACCATTGTGCCTCCTAGATGCCTCAGTTTCCACCCCATCACATCAGTCAACGTCTTGTCTCCCCAACTGGACTGTGAACTTCTTAATAACAAGGACCAGAGCTGGGGATTGTTTATTAAACCACGTAGCTCCAGTACTAACAGTGTCAAAAATATGTTAGGTGCTCACTGTTTATCACTTAATCAAATAAAAGAATGAGGTTCTAGTAGATTGACAGATTGAAACCTACCCCACCTCATCTGATGATTCATCATATCCCCTAGGCCTTATGCATACTAAACTCTTTATAAATATTTCTGGGATAAAGGGTTTAAATAAATGAATGTGTTTTGAAACCAGGTATTTTCTCATTCATTTCCAATATTCTCTGTCATCAGTACTTTTCCAGTGAAAAATCACCTTCCTTCCACAAGGCTCCATGCTGAGTTCCCCAAAGTTTCTTTCTCTGTAACCCTGTTACATCCTGCCTATCTGCTTGTTATTTGGATCTGGATTTTATAAACATGTAGAACAGATGGAGCTTATACAATGGGCAAGAGCAAAGAGCAGACTCTTCCTAACTGAACAGAGCCCCTGAGGAGATTCCTATTTACCATCAAAACAACTCTGGTCTGGTTAGGAGTTGTGAAGATTAAACACGGCAATATTTGTGAAAGGGTTTTATAAAGAGATACATGTACAGTATAATTAATAATGATACATTAAAGCAATAAAGTTTGAGGGTAATAACTCCTAGAATTTACCTGATTCTTTCTCCTCAAAAGCTCAGGGAGGGCATTTGTACATCTCTCTATCTGACACTAGTTCAGGTTGAGGTCATCAGTATATCACAGAATGAGAGAAACCCAAGCAATTGTAAATACTAATTTAAAGGTCAGTAAGAACACAGTTTTGAAAGGTGTACCATTTATAATTAAAGTAGCTAAAGATTAAGCTAATTGCAAATTTTCCTTAAGGTAAGAAACAAAAAAATATAAAATTGAAATTATACTTATGTCATAAAACAATATAGGAAAATTTTCTAAACATGTATTTTCCTTTCTTAAAGTCAATGATTCTTTGTGTCCTCTTCTAAAAAAAATGCTAGTGCTTCTTTTTGTCAGGTTTAATGTGGAAATTAATATGACTAACTTGGATTTCACAAACTATGACTTCCAGTAGTTAGCATTTTTCTTATTCATGAAAAAGCAATAGCATATTTGGCTTCTATTGAAGTATGGTAAGAATAATTTAAGTGAAAAGTCAAGTTATATTAAAATTGAATTTTTTGCTTCACATTTTTCACTTGACCATCAGTTTTAAGAAACAGTCATTAAAAAAAGGAAAACAGTATGAAAATAATTGTTTTGAAAGGGAAGGAAGGAAAAGAGGTAGAGATTTCTTAAGAAGCCAAGGTGGTGTAACAGCGTAATGAAATTAGACTGGGAGTCAGGGAAGGGGTCTAGCTTCATCTCTGCTAGGAAGTAGTCTCCTTTCTTTTAGTTAATTCTGAACACAAAATACGTTTCCCCAAGTGAATTTGAGTGTGACAGTCTCTGCCGACAAGCAAAGGGAATATCTCTTGCTGGGACCAGATCAGGGCATCCTTCCCCTAAAGGCATATTATTGCATTATTTCACGCTGGTTCTACTTTATTAGAAGGCACCAACAGGACTTTTGTAGAGGGACATATTACTAGACAAAATTCTACTCTTTGCCACCTGTTTCCTCTGCCGGGGCCCCCCATCCTTAATGCCCCTGTAGGAGCCCTGGAGACTCTGAGAGGGTCACACTACAACTTTGAAACACTTCGCTTTTGGCGTTCGTTCGTGCAAAGCTGAGGGAGAACTGGGGTTGCTATGGCAATTTGCAAACAGTAGGGGCGGTGGGACTCCGCAGGAGGTGACCTCCTGATCCCAGTCTGCGCTAGTTCAGGCCTGCACACTTGGTCCAGCCAGGGCTCCGCAGACACACGAGGCAGACATAAGGCACCCAAGTCCCCAGGAGAACTTCACAAACCGGGCACTCTCGGGACGAAAGTGCAGGGCAGAGCTTTCGGCCGGTCATCCGGGACTGCCGGGCTTTTTCCCCCCTCCTAACTGTTGAAGTGACAAAACCTGTGACCTTTGGACAAAGGCGTGTGCCACACACGATGGGGCGCGGGTGTGAGATGGGCAGGCAGTTTTTCAGTCTGCGAGGGAAAGAGAGGCCGTCGCTGGCAAATTAAAAGGGCAGAGAGATTCTCCACGTGTCCTGGGAGGGAAAGGGAGAGAGACGAGTCTGGGAAGGAGAGGAGTGAAAGGTGCCGCTCCCTCTCGGCAGCGAGCTGGAAGGAAGGTGTGTCTCTCCCAGCGGCCGCGCGGGGGAAAGCTCCGAGTTGTAGGAAATGGGAGGTGTCTCCGATGTTTATTTTTGCCTAGCAACCCGCAGCCAACTGCTTCCCCACCAGCCGCCCGCACGCGCCTCTGCCTCCCCTTGTCCTAGCGCCTGGAGAGCGGTCACTTGGTGTCAGTAGACCGGGGCGGGCGAGTGCGGTGGCGGTGGAGGCGGGAGGGCAGCCCCTCCTTCGCCCACGTTCGGGGTCGCCAGCTAAGCTGCAGCCCTCCCCCGGGCTTGACCGACCGAGGTGACCCTCGCACCACGAAGTTCTTTACATGAGAAATTGGGGAGGGGGGTGGTGAAGCCACTGGGCCCGCGGAGAGGGGCAGTATTGTTTGCGAGCGGCCATTAGGTTCAGAAAGCTGGAAAGGCATTTGTGTTTGGGGGCGCGCATGGAGGGGAGGGGTCTCCGCAGCGATTTCAGAGGCGGGGGGCAGGGCCAGGCTGCGCTGTGGGAGCGGGAGGGGGGCCGC